CGGCTCCTGATGTTTAGTGATTTGGGAAATAATCATGTCCTCAAGCGAGCAGTGAGTTGGGGTGGGGAGGTAGCTGGGTGACCTTGCAGGGGCTGCTGTGCCAGGGATGAAGGAGGCAGAGCTGGTCCAGAGCACATCCTGGGGGCAAAGGGGGCTGTGGGGTAGTCGGTGGGTGCAGGCTGGGCTCAGTGGGGATCTGAGCAGGATGGGAATCCTGTCCTGCCGCTCCTTGCCCATCCAGGCTGCTGCCAGGCTTGTATTTAGGATTTCTCTTTGCCTTGGGCATGTGCTTAATTTTCAGCTCAGCCTCCTGCGCAGATTGCTGGAGTGTGTCTGTAAGTCTCTGTGGCTTTACTTCCATTTAGCAACAGTGCCTAAACAAAGGGTGACCTCCAGGGCTGGACTGGGCAGGGAGTGACTGGCAGTGGTGTGGGGCCCTGGCAACCTGGGGATTTCTTGCTTGCCCAAGAGCTGCTGTCACACATCAGTTCCTTTCCTGAGCAAGCTGGAAGGAGCTGGGGTGTGAGCAGGGAATGCTGGCAGCCAGGGCTGGAGTCGCAGCTCCTCTCACCGCTGTTTTCAAAGGTTCACGCTTCTAAATGACTTCTCAGCAGCTGTCCTCCTTGGAGACCTGCTTTCTTGAAAGATGATACTGCTCTTGTAATTAAGGTAATTGTTTAAATTCATTCCCTTAAACTGGACCCCATCATAACTTAACCAACTGTATCTATGCAAGCATGGGGGAGGTTGAAGAGGGTCAGGGTGGATGGCATGAGATTGATTCATCATCCGGAAAGATTTATAGGTAAAAATCTTATTAAACTGAAATACCTAATAAAGATGCAGGGGAAAACCACATAGAGGGCATAACCTGGGCAGGCAGCTGCCATTTGTGCTGTGGTGACTGACAGGGGGAATGTCACCCCTGCAGCCAGATGGAAAGATGTGCTCCAAGCCTCCCCTGCCCTGCTCATCTTCTGCCCAAATAGCAGGTAGGGCTGCACACGCTTCGGTTGTTTTGGGATATTTAATTTCCTTTCTCACTTACCCTGAATGCTTTCTGATTTTGTGGAAATCTGAAGGTAATTGAATGTAATTGTTTAAAGAATCAAGTTATTTAAATTATAGTGTAATTCTTGAAATAAAGTGACAATCTGTGGGAGTTTATTGATGTTGTTGGTGGATGGAGAGTGGTGGAGTGATGTGTGTCAAACTGCTCTGCACAGGGCTGCAGAGCTGGCTGTGCCACGGAGTCCAGGTCTCCAAGGAGTCTGCACAGGGCTGCAGAGCTGGCTGTGCCACAGAGTGTGTGGCTGAGGTGCGACAATGGTGCAAGGTCAGGATCCAGTATGGTCCTCTGTGATACTCAGCAAAGCCCGGATCATGGCCAGGTTTGTCTTCTGTCTGAAATGGCTTGGGCAGTTCAGCAAGAGCTGGTGGCTCAGTCCCAATTTGAGGCTGTTTCAGGACATCTAGGGGGAATGACAGAAATTATCTGGGGATAAGGGCTGTTCCCCTACCTGTTCTCCCTTGCTACATGGATGGCAGTGGGCATCTGAGACCCCAACCAATGGAACTACCGAAAGAGGAGCCTACAGCAGAGAGCATAGCAGGGCTTTCATGTGGCTGCTGGTATTTCAGATGTGATGGTAAAAGTTATTTATGTGGCACAGAAGATACCCACCTAGTCTGGAGGCAGGCAAGCAAAGCCCTTGTGCCCAGGAGATCAGACAAACGAAGGGCTAATCCAGCACTTAAAAATCTGTGTCCAAACTCTGAGTGTTGAGCTGCCTCCCTGCTGATCATTAAAACCCTGGTCCTTCATCCCTCACTGTACTATCACTTGCCCTAAAAGCCCACATCAGGTGGCTGTTCCTGTTCAAAGGAGGCTGTGAAGACAAGTAGTGGAGGGAGCGGTTGAAAAATAATCAGTACAAAATAGGTGAAATACAAATATCAGGGTACTGATGAAAAGAGCATGGAAGTGGATGGAGGACACAATGAAGAGGACTTGTATTTAAAAAAAAATGACTTTCGAAATTGATGATGGCCTGTGGCTCAAATAGTTGGGGAAGCAGCAACAGGAGGCAGGAGGCTTCAGTTGTTTTCCTTGCTCTGCTGCTGCCTGCCTCTCTGTGCAGAGATCCTTAATATTCCTCTGCAGTGTCATCTTCATTTGCAAACCTTATGCTAACAGAGGAAAGTATTTCAGTGTTTTTGAGGCTGTGACATCTAATGCCTCACATAAACAAGACCTTTTCTTTCCCTCCCCCACCCACTTTATCACCTTTTCCACTTTTATCTGGAAATTAATCAAGTGATTAAATTGCTCAACCGTATTTCTGGTGTTTGGTTGGCAGATTTACTTGGGCAGCAATTTAAAGTTCCCCTACCTCCTCCATCCACTCTTCTCCTCACCCCAACGTCAGGTAAGTCTGTATGTGTGTGTGAGGGTGGTGTGAACCAGCCTTGGGTGGAAGGGCCAGCCTTGGGTTGAAGCCACCAGTGGGTGACCATGGCTGCTCAGGTGGCCCCGAGACTCATCTGAGCATGCCACAAGCACACAGGCAGACTGTTCCCCTGCACCATCCTGGGCACAACCGTCCCCTTGGCTCCATCTCTGGCTCACTCCCTGTGCCCTTCACTCCTCTCTTGTGGGGCCTGAGATCTGGGAATGAGCCTTGGATTTGACTCCATAGCAGCTGTAAATACATTGAACCATTCCCCCAACACTAATTCACCTGCCCTTGCTTTCAGCTGTTAAGCTGCTCTCCAGACCAGCTCTATGTTTTAAACCAAAATTCAAGACTCTTTAACCTTTAAATTCAAGGGTGTCCAATGAGCCCTCCAAAGAGCACAGTCCAAGGAATTCTTCAATCCCTCACTGAGCAGAGCTTGCTCCCAAAGTAGTGGGTATTTTGCTGGTTTGACACCTGCAAAATTACACACGGCATTAACCACAGCAGTGATGAAAAAGCAAAATTTCCACTTTGGTCTTGTGTTGCATTGTATTAATATGATATTTTTTGTGAGAGGCCACAGCTGACGCCTCCATGCTGTGAGGTTGTGCCAGCCTGCCCGTGGTAAATGATATCAGTAACATGGTGTGACACAAACAACAGCACTGGGTGTGACAAGCCACAGCAGAAATGCATCTGTAGAGGCAATGTGACATGGTTAAGACTCATGCTCAAAATTTTAAATGGCTTACAAGAGAAGTGAGGTTTTTTAAAAGATCCTGTCACAATTTTTTGTAATCACTAGTACTTTTCCCCATTTATCCCGTTAGGGAACTTAAAACAGGAATTTGCATGGTGTTTCAGTTGCCTCTATTTTACTCTGGTGTGGGAATCCATGAATGCTGGCCCACTGAAAAAAAAGAAAAAAGAGAAGAGGGAAAAAGAGGGATTACAGATCTTTGCCAGCATGAAGGTTGGGCTGAGGAGCCTTTGTGTACTTCCTTACCCAGTGTGTTCACAAGCACCATGGGTTTCATACACCAGTAGCAGGAGACAGAAAACAGTTGTTTCAAGTCTGTGTGAATATGCGAATATATTTTTTCACACCTATAATGTCTGTCAAGTTTATAGCAGTGCAATCAAAAAAAAAAAGATAATAGATACCACTTTGTTTATCCTCAATTTTCCAAACCTCAGAGTTTTTTTTCTTTAAACGTACAGAGTTTTTCTCTAGCCATGACTGTAAGAAACAATACCCTGACCATCCTCCTGAACTTGCAAGGGACTGGCGGAATGAGCTTGAGCATCTCACCTTGGGCAGTCGCTGGTGGGCAGGTGCTTGCCCTTCTCCCCTCTGCCAGGGAGGGGCACCAGCAAAACCCAGGCGCTTATTCTACAGATGGTCCAGGATTTGTAGTTTCTTGCTTCTCCTCTTCTTCCTTGGTAAATAAAACAGGCTTAACAGTCATCTCATCTTTTGTGGTGGCAAGTCGAAAGTAACTCTCCTAAAATCCATAAAGCCTGAGTAGCACAGAACCATACAGGAACCACGAAACCAGCAGAACCAGTGGCTGTGGCTGCAAGCCTGTCTGATGAGGCACTCATGGGACTGGAAAGAAAGAGGTGAGGAACACATTTGGTTGCCATGAATACTGAGTAACAATATATGTGAGCATGTGAAGTGGGCAGCGGGGAGCTGTGCAGCACTCACAAACAACTGTGACAAGTCCCTTTGCTGGGATAATTTGATCTAGCACAGTCAGTGGAGCATGGCAGGATTATTATGATCATTATTTATCGTATGTACTGCAGAAATTTTTTTTTGATGGTGAGAGCTGCTAGTGTTGTGCTAAATAAGGGAAGATCTGGTGCCTTCTGTGATGAGTGACTGGAAATTCAATGAAAAGCCACTCCTGCGTTCTGTCCAAATGCCATGGCATGGTTGCGATAACTGATAGTTCTGTATATTACGGATATCATTGTCTGGCCATACCTGTAATATTCTCCACAGAGCTGACTCTGTGTGCTTGTGTACAAGTACCTATGTGTGTGAGTGAACAACACTGTACACACATTAGTGTTGCCAGCAAAAAGACTCCAAGAGCTATTCCCCCAATTTCCACGTAAATTATCCAAAACTAAGTGACTGGTCCTTCCCATCCATGGCACATCACATAAGCTCAGCATCAGGCCAGGCTGCTGCAGGAGTGGGACAAAGGGCTGATGCTACAGTCTGGTTTCCATGGCAACAGAGGAGGGGTAGTGAGACCAGAAATGTTGCAAACACCCCTTCTTCTCACTGCAGCCCAATGCACCGTATTGCAAAAGATAGTGCTGTTTTGAGGGGGGGTTGAAAGGTGGGAAGAGTCCAAATGCCTTTACCTTTCAGGTTGCAGAGTTCTTGAAATAAAAAGAAATGGCAATTTCTTTTCTCAGAGTAGTTGCAAATAGAAAGGAAATCCACCACGCAGGCCTCGTTTGCTGCGTGTTAAATGCGTGTGTTCTTTAAAAGGCAGTGGTTGGCTGCTTTTCCGGACATGATGTGGTTGAAGCTGTCATCGTAATGGAAATTCATTGCTGTAGCTATGGTAAATCGAGTTTTCTGCCTGTGCTGAATGCATTAGTCTAATGAGATGTTTGCAGCTGGAGAGCTGAGCTGCTGGAGACTTACACTATGCTAAAAGACAGGGAGAAGATGGCTTTTGCTGGGATCTCTGTGACAGTGCTGAAAGTCCTCTGCCCTTTGGGTCCCAGTGTCTGGGCTCTCTAAAGACTCTGCTCAGTGTTTTAGCCTAAGCAATAGGTAAGGGGAAAGCATGCTTCTTCTTTTTCTTCTTCTTCTTCTCTGCCTGGTGTTTGTCATCGAGCCTTGTGGGAGCAGTTCTTGTTCTGCCTGTCTGTATGTGGTAACTTTGCAGTTCCTCAGTTGGAGACTCTCTTTGCCAAAGCACACCCTTACTGAGCCCTGGGAACAGTTCGTGTGAGGAGAGGGGCAGCAGATCCGCCTATGCTGCCGGCTTGTGCTGCGCGGCAGCGGCAGCGGGAGTATGCCTCTGTGTGTGTGTGCGTGTGTGTGTGTGTGTGTGTGTGTGCATGAGGTGGTGAAGACTTCTAACTACAGAGCACTCTGCATGAAGTGTGGCTTCGGGCTTTTCCAAAAAAGTTGGTTCAGGCGGTTTTTTTTGCTGCCAGGTAAATGCCTCTTCCATTTTAAAAGCCATTTATGTTGCAGTATACATAGCAAACAGTATTTACATCACATATTCTGGGGTTTAGTATAGTTCATAGAGCAATGAGCTTAATTATAATCTCATATCTTCAAATCAGATGCTAAGTTGGATTTTTATCCTTAACTGAAAACTGGAGGGAGTGATACTGTTTATACGCTGGGTCTTTCCTTCGAGACTTATGAGATGAGAGATACCAAGGAGCACACTTTAGCACAGTTGTCTATGTTTGCATTTTCAGGTGTTTTAAAGCTAACTTTCAGAGAGGACGGAGCACAGGGATGCAATGTGTGGGGGCACCTGGCTAACCCTGATGGTCCCTCCTTAGCTCTCAAGCCCCTGCTGCCATCCCAGCCTGCAGCCTACTGCTCGCTGACAGACGGTGAAGCCTAGCGTGGTTCAGTGAGTATTTTTGCCTTTGAGATCTGGGCACTGTCTCCCTTTCCATTGCTGATGAATGGTTGTGAGGGGTGGTTTCTTTGCCTGGGGCTCCTCTGATGGCAGTGGTCTGGAAGAAAGAAGTTGCTTTTGGGATTGATGCATGCGGGACTTGTGGCAGGAATAAAGTTAATCTGGTGAGCTGCAGAAGGAAAGTTGCTTGAATTCGCAGCTTGGAGGGGGATTGCTGTTTAATTCTGGGTTTATTTCAAAGAGGCTTATGAAGACATTTTTCTCAAGGATAGACCAAGGTCTTTTCAAATTGAATTAAGGCATAGTGGAAGAGGTAAAGCAAAGAAAGAAATGTTTGTGGGAGCAGAGCTGCAGCCTAAAAACTATCTTTGTGCTACAGGAATACTTAGAGCATCCTCCATCCCATTGTGCCGCCAGTCCCTGGTGCAGCTAAGCACGAGGCAATCAGCTGTTGGTGTAAATCAGCATAAATTCCTTGGCTTCAGCCTCATCTGACACCAGCTGAGGATATGGCTTGGAGATTAGCAGATTCAGATTTTGTGATCTTATTTAGACGAGGTGCCTCCCAGTCCTCTCCAGGCGCAGGTGACTTTGTATTTTAATTCAGATGTCACACTGATTTTCCCAATCAGGCAGAGTGCCTCTGCCCCATCATACAAGTTATTTAGCTGATACACATGTTCTTCAGATTAGAAAGGCTGCCAAGGACACGAGTTTTTTAGTGATGGAGTGTGGAAGAGGGACTGGAAAAAAATCTACCAACAGGAAAAGTACATATGCTGAATGAGATCAGAAATTTTGCAGAAGGTATACCTTGAGAAATCCTTTGTCGGTGAGCACAGTAACTCAGATATTTCTGTTCTGTTTATTGGAAATGTTTAGTTCAAGTACTTCCCTATGTTTTGTGGAGAAGAGTGGGTAAAAAGAGGCAATTTTCTTCCTTGGGCAATTAGTGACTTGCCATGAGGTTTCTCACCTACTGGGAACACATGACTATAGAGGTGCTTGTTGGTGGCTATGGGACCTAGAAAGAAGAAATTGCAATGGGAAATTTTTCCCTCAGTTCCATGTTTGACACAGAAATTTGGGGTTTTTTTACATATTAAAAAGAAAAAGTTTGAAAGAGAAACATGATATAGCACCCAGTCATGGTATGTGGGGATACCCTGAGCTTCAGGAGGCTGAGATGTGACCTTACACAGATGTCTCCCCAGCATTTTCCCTCCCTCAAAAGTAGGTAATATTAAAAAAAGGGAAGAAAACCAAGATGATCAAAGGTTGCAAAGTGAAGTCACAAAGTGGGGTGTGGGACAGTTGTCCATTCAAGCCTGGTAACAGGAGACAGGCAAGCCGTGCCAGCTGGGCTCCTGCCCTCTCCCTCAGCCAGCGCTGCTGGAGGGAGGCAGCTGAACAAGGACCTCGCTGCTGGGACAGTGTCTGCCCTCGGTGGGGATGTGTCCATTCTTCTCATTCCTGGCCATGCTGGGACCTCTGGTGTCCTTGCAGACTCCCCCAGCACCCAGCTCTGGTAGGATCCAACTCAAACTCAATAATAGAAAATGGGATGATTTAATTTATTGAATCATCAAAGTTGAACTTTGATGATCCTCGTGGGTCCCTTTCAAGTTAGGATATTCTATGATTCTAATTCCTCAGCATCACCACTTCTCAGTGGGCTCTGCCCAGAGGTACTTAGGGGCTCCTTTCCTACTGTGAACTCACATCTCTAAGGCTAGCCCATGTTCCTAGCACTAGTTTGGAGACTTCCAGTGTACTTTAAATGGAAGACCGAGGCACTCCTCCTGCAAATGATGGGAACCCACACATACCTGGCAAGTAAATATGAGGCGTAAAAGCACAGTTCACGTAAGGAAGAGCTTCAGTTGATGAGAGTAAGACAGCAATGATTTCTGTTAAAAATTGAATGAAGCAAAATGTTTATATTTGATAACACTGAAGTCGGTAAAGCCCTGTTATCTTCAGGGGATTTTAGTTCACTTTCATAAAGTATACTCAATGGCCACATGTTGTCTTAAAAAAAAAAGAGAAAAAATACCCTAATTCCATAGAATCCTGCCCTACAGAAGTAGTTCTCTAGAGCTTTAAAACGGTGCAAAGGAGCCAGCTTTATTTTCATAAAACACTCCCATCTGAGTTCTCCAGCTGACCATTAAGAGCAGGTGCAGCATTTAGCAGGTGAATCCCCTTACAGTGAGAATGAAGAATAATTGGTTTACTTATACAAAGAAAAATATTCCAGGCTCACCTTGCAGGGAAAAATTATTACACGTATTAATTCTGCCATAACAAGTTGCCTTATGTGGACTTTTTTTCCTGCACAAAGGAAGCAAAATTTTCTCTTTATTTTACTGTATATTAAAGAAGAAACTTCATTAAAAATTATGTGTCAGGAGATTACACACTGTTCTGCCAAACAGAATCATGATATATGGGTGCACTAAAGGTACTGGCTAATTTGCTATTGACTAATAAAATTGAAAAGAATTTATACTCTAATCTAGCATCTTTGTACCAAATTTTTCTATGGATGGGAATGACTGAATGGAGAAGAGGCGATTTGCAGTGAAGGTGAAGTTATAATTTACTAATTAAAGATTTAAAGTTCTGATTTTTTTTTTTTAATAAAATCTCATAAAGATGATGAACCTGTAAGTCATTAAGATTGGCTGTTCCCTTTAGGAACTAATGTAAATTTGCCCCAAATAAAGGATTGCCCAGAGAGAATCTGGATGTGTAATTATGTTCCACAGAAGGATGAATAATTCCTCTTGAACTGAACAGTTTGCTGTTGCCCTGCAGTTTATACTGACCCCATCTTTAAAGGTGATTCTCATCATACAGAAGAAATGGTGCTATAAATGCTAGAGTGTTTCTCCCTGCCTAGGAGTTTGTTGCTCCGTTCACTTTGGGTATGGGATGCAAAGGATGGGGTTTCCTTCCCAAATTAGTTGGCAGTGCGGCCAGGAATATGCCTCTGGTTTCTTGCTCCTCTTACCTGGCACATGCATGGACACCAGCATGCTTGGCATGCAGAATGTCAGACTGACAAAAGCTTTTGCAGGAGCCAGCTGTTGCTCTTGTTGCTTCAAGTATTTATATATATGGGGCTCCCAGGAGTATTCCCTGGCACTTTCTTCATTTACAACGTGTGACTGAAATTGAGCATTCGGAGCTGGACCCTAAATTTCTCTGGATGCTTTGGTTACTCTTCTCCTCACAGAAGGTCTGCTTCCCTCTGCATCTTGGTGTGCACAGACCCTCAGTGCCCACGCAGATCTGCTGCAGCTGGGGGCAGGAGGAAAGGGGGCTGCACTGGGTACAGGGCAGAGGGAGGTCTAAGGTCTCACTCCTTTGTTAACCCTGTCCTCGCATGCAGGCGCTGCCCACCTTCCTGCCACCATGCTGCAGCTCCCAGATCCCGTCTTGGGAGATGAGCAGCTGGCTAAGGCCACCTGCAGCTCTATCCCAAATGCATTCTGGTAGAGATATATTTTTCTCTCCATCTGGAAGTGAAGCAATGACTGACTCTCTACGCTGGCTCCCATCTCAGCACAGGGTGCTGGAGAGTAGCAGCAGCTCAGCTGCTGGACTTCTACTGGCACCTGTGAAAGCTTTGCTTTCCCAGGGAGAGTTACAGAGGGGTAATCCCACAGCACATGAAAGGATAGGTGTTTCCTTGTGACATCATCCGTGATTTCTAAAAATTTGTAAAAAATCAGCTGTATTTCTCTGTGTCATGCTCCGTGGATGTGAGAGCAAGTGTGCACGTGCCTTTTGCTGCGAGTTGGGTCTCTGAGAGCTGCCCTACCTCTCTGTTATGTAAATACATTTTTCTAATGCTTGCTTTCATCTCTCCATGTCTCTGCTTGTGTGCCAATGGTGTGAAGGCGCTAAGACAAAAACGTGTCGTATTTTACTTGGCGGGAGGTGCAGGGAATGTACGAGATGCCTTCTTCTTTCAGCCCATCTTCCTCCATGTGTCACCCACCCAAGGTTTCAGTGTGAGTGCTTTTTCTTTGAAAAGTGGTTTGGATTTAATGGTGAGGACATTTAGGACATTAATGGTGATGACAGGCTGTCCCCTCACCTCACCTACCTGTCTACCTGCCTGCCTGCCTCCCTGCCAGGGAGGATACCACAGGCAGGTAGGTTTTAACCCAGACCTTGTCTTGTGACGTGGGCAGATTCATTGAGAATCACCGTAGTAGTCATCCTAAGAGGCTATAACAAATGTTTAGGCACTCTATAAACTCCCAGTCTGAGAAAATGTGTCACTCAAACACCTAGCTTATCAAGGCAGAAGAGAGGAAAAGTAGGAGTGAGACCACCACTGGTCTTGTTTGCTGGGTTGCTACTTCCTGTCCCTTTGCCCCAAAATCAGTGTCTTGGCTATCTCTGCTCTCCAAGTGTCTCCCGCTCCTCTCTGACCCCACAGCGCAGCCTGACTTTGGGGCAGAGTGGGCAGAGCTGAGCCATAAGGCAAGTACTGCGTGCTACAAGAAGCACTGGAGGCTCTCCTGGGGAGGCAGCAGGGGGGAACAGCAACACTGGGAGGGGCACAAGCTCCTTTGTGATGGGGACTCCATTTTACAGAGTTGGTGTGTAAAATGATTTGATTTCCAGAGTATAATCAGAGGTTTACAGCATCAGCACCTGTGGGCACTGCGGGGAGAGAAACATGACTGGAGGCAGAGAGCAAAGATTTGGGAGGGGGTCTTCAAACCTGGTCAGAGACAATAGTTGGACAGAAGAGATTTTGACAGGAGTCAGGCACTGAATGGCAGAAAGAGGAGTTCTGCGGTCTTAGATAAGGGTAAACACAAAAGGCAACATTACAAGAGGAGATTTCATGTTAAAGAACCCAAGAGATTGCTTGGGGGTTTTTTGGGTTTTTTTTTGTCTCTGCTACTATTTTTGTTTGAGGCTGAGCTGGCACCATGCCTGGCCATCCTGACCTGTCCTTCCAGGCA